TCATATGCCTTTGTTTTAGGGAACTCCCTATTCCCTTCCCCATACCCGTAACTCTGGCTTTTTATTTTTATTTATTTGTTTCTTTGTTTATTTTAAAGTAGGCTCCACACTGAACTTGGGGCTTGAACTCAGGACCCTGAGATTTAGAGTTGCATTCTCTAATGACTGAGCCAGCCAGGTAGCCCTAACATTGACTTTTTAAAGAGCACAGGCCAGCTGTCTTGTGAAATGTCCCAACGTTCTGTATTTATGTCATTTGACTTGTTCATCTAGGCCTAGAATAGAGACTACAAAGACACCTGGAATACTGTCTAGCGTTCTAGCTCCTTATCTATTCCCAGAGACCAGCCTTCAACCGTGAGGAACACCAAGAGATCACAGCTAAGCTGAACTCCAGCTTCAACTCTTCAAAGCAATTGCTAGTTTCAAGAAGAAAAGGTACTTAAATGATATTGCCAAAAATTGCCAAAACAAAAGCTTTTAAGGTCAAAGGAGAGGTGTCCTGTTTTAATGTTGATCTAGCAAGTCCAGGGTCTGCAGCAACGTGGGCCATCCCAGACAGCATTCAGGGGTCAAGGTCAGCTCTTGTTTTATGTGAACATGTAGGAAGGACCAGCAAAGGTGCTTCCTTTAACTTCCTTTTGCCTACCAAATGACTCTGGCTTCTGTTAAGCTAAATGCTAAACTGAAAGAATAACAAAAAAAATGTTGTTATCTCAACTTTTATCAGACTTTAGAATGGGTTAAAAAAAGCAGGGGCTTGCTAACTTCACTGGGACACACTGGTATGTTATGCTCTGAGCTCCAGGAAATGTCTGATCTTGCCCCAAAATACTGCCTTTGCATTTCAAGGGCAGCTCCCCAAGGACTTGGAGAGCTCTGACAGAAAGGCCCTCTGCTTGAACCATTTCAAGGAAAACTAATCATGAATCTACATGAACACATAGTGTGCCATCCATGTGCTTAAGATGTAAACAGGCCTAGAAGGGGGCATTAGTATGTGGGAGAAAATGTTCCAGTGGCATTTGTGGCTGCACTTCTCTGATAGCTTATGGACACAGGCTATTTTGGACTGGTACCTCTCTAGAAATACAGACTTAAATAAACAAAAGTGCAGCCTCCACCGAGGTGGTGTTCTTCTGCAGGCCAAGTGTTTTTAAAAAACGTGATTGGCCAGCTAAGAAGTGTATCCGCCTGGTGCCTCAAATTTTCAAACACTTTATTTGAATACCATGTGAATGGCTAATCTCCTACAAGTTTTGGGGCTTTAACAAGGTAAACAAATGAGTGGCTGTGAAAGTAAACACTGCATTTCCTCCCAGGCTCCTCCTCGGATCCAAAATTCCACTCCCTCCGTCCCTTTCACTAGCCCCAGCCTTCCCCTTCCCAAGCTTGGTCTCTTGTACCCTGCAGAAGTACTGAATTTGCAAAGGAGACATTTTTAATTATAAGTACTACAGTAATGAATTCAAGTACACTCGTTTATCATAAAGGGCTTTCCCATCTGTCTCTAAAGTATACTTAAAAAGGCTGTGTATTTGATAACATTATCACCGAGCATCTTCCACATGTTACTGTTCAGCATTTTAGATGTTAGCTTCCCGCACATACCCCCGCCCCCCACCAACATGGTGGTTGTTCCAGAAAAGGCACATTTATCTCTGTGTTTGGGAGTGCCTGTGTGGTCTCTTCCTAATTTATTTGCACTCTAATCCTCAGGGATAGCATCCCAATCCCCGTAGGCAAAGGGAGATTAGGGAATGGGGCTTTCTGCTTCTCCCCACCCTAACAGAGAAGGGAAAACAACTTCCTCAAGTCCCTCAAGTTCATCTGGCCACTGTACAAATTGTTCTTGAGCATGGAGGGTTTCCAAAAGCCCTAATTAGCAACTCACAGCAAACATTTCTTTGCATTAGCTAATGATCCGGCTACACTTGTAAGCAAACAGAACCAACATATCTAATCAATGCTGAAAAACCAACCAAATGCCTATTAAACATCTGGATGTAATTTTCTAGTTAGAACAAAATGAAAACATATGCAGGTTCCTTTGATCTGCATCTTAACAAAGAAATTGTTGATAAAAAACCATACTGGTCAGTCAATGTGTCATTTTCATAAACTCTACTCGTTTCTCTTCAAATGCTCCCAGTTTAATTTAGCTGGTTTCCTGCAATCTCTAATTTTACCATATTGTGTGAAACCGCAAGAGATTCTTTGGATGTGATTTTATTTGAGGTTTTACTGCTGCATGGATCTGCTACTGATTTTTTTTTTCTTTCTTTGCTTTCTCTCCTCCATGCCCCACGCCCATCCTGCTCTTTCCTTTGGTAAAGGGCTGGGGGAAAAGGTTATAAAGCAATGCTGCGAAAATTCTTCTGGACTCTACATTCATGGGTTTAATAAAACTCTCAGTTAAAAAAAAAGTCAAACGAGAAAACGTATAAGCAATAACTCACAGCTAAAAGGAAGAGAAAATAACAAGTGATCTTCAGAAATTGACATACTTATTTCAAATAAAAAAGTAATAGATTTAAAAGATGCATAATTTCCATGACCAGCACCCATAGCTTTTTCTATTATGTCTAGAACCTATACGATATATAACATCTAGTTTTTGTAGTGACTTAGGCCATTGGTTGAGTTGAAAATTTGCTAGTCAGCAACAGATGAATGGAAATATATACCCATATATGCATCAAAGATGAACAATCTGGCAATCTTCTTGTTTCTTTGCAGAGGATAAAAAGGGGATTTTTTTTTCAGAGATAATTTTTATGGAAGTGGAGTACTTAATATCATTTCATGGAAAAACATCATCAACATATGAATATGTTAAAGGTAAAAAAGATTATGGTTAACAGGCTTTAAATAGAAGACTAAAATGATAGATTTCATGAGTAGGATTATTTTTTTAAATAGGCTGTAGACAATCTGCACATATATTATTTATTTAAAACATAAGATTAAAGCTACTTGATTGTTTAAACACCATCATTTGTAATGCAGTTTGATGAGAGTTTTGTAGTATAATTATTACAGCATGACAATCACAGAGAAAATATGACCTTGAAAAGGGGCCCAGCCTTCTCCCTCTGTCAAGGAGGATGGGATGCACTCGAAAACCAACCATCTTTATGCACACAATTAAAGGTCTTCCAATTTTAAAATCATTACGCTTTCTTTTCTCCAGATACTACATTATAAGAAATTTAGAAGGCTCCTTTCTCAAAATATACCGTTTTAATTTCTCTGTTTAAACCCAATTACCAGTGTGTGCCAGTAAATCAAACTAAAGCTTGGGTAAGCCAGGGAGAAGTGTCAGTTGCCCCAGCTGACACAGCATGCACAGGCTTATTTGTGGCATCCAAATTCCTTCCACACAGTCCTGGAGCTGATTATGGGATGAACTGACCACAGACTGACACACAGGGCCCAGTCACTAGATGAAGATTTCAAGGAACGCAGGTTCAAGGAACGCAGGTTGCCAAAGGACAAAGAACTTAGCTGCCCATGAATCACACTATTTCAAAAAGTCCTCTATGTGGAAAAAGCCGGCTCCAGTCATCACTCAATTTAACTTAGGAAAGAGGGACAGTGCTTGCTTCCTTTTCATTCTTCATGTTAGCAAAAGGAATACTATAACCCCCTCCCCAACCCCACTTAATGAGAACACTGCAAAACCGCATGCCGAACTTGTTTAAGAATTTACTGTGGCCTTGTACAGGCTGGCTAAAATGGCTCCTTTAATTCTTCATTTATAATTGATATTTGGGATTGATGCAATTATAGACAAATCAATATCATGCATATTTAAAAACAACCCCAACAGTGAAATGTATTATCTAAAATGATTCTTTTAATATTTCAAGAAAAAGATCTCTGAGAAAGCAAATCTTCGAATAAAATGTATTTCTCTTTAAATAAATGCCTTTCCATAAGTCCCTTGAAAGTAAAATAATGAGAACGTGAAGGTTATTAATACCCAAAACTTAAGTATCTTCCAAAGTAGGATGAGTGTTTGTCAAAGATGTGTCTTTCTTATGGAAGAACTCACCACCATTGGGCTACAACAGCATTATTCACTCACCAATCGTATGGAAATAGCTCAACCTAACTGTTCTTTAAACAAAAGTATAAATGCGGCAACACTGAAGGTTTTCTGCTATGTGGTGTATTTGAAGAAAGAGACAAAAACTGGAGAATTACACAGTATGCCCCATTTATTTAAAATCTCAAAATACCTTTCGGGTCAAGCTCCACTCACAAGAATTTTAGCCACGTCATGTACCCAACGCTTCCCATTTAGCTCCTCACGCAGCTCAGCCCTGGGGTACCACCCTAAGTATGGGGTAAGGGCGGGCAAGACAGGTTCCAGGTCTCCAAGCTGGTTTATCCCATTGTTTCCCTTTGTTTTTAGTAATTGGAAACAGACTCGTGGTCATGTTGCTGAGAAGCCCCTAAAACTCTCAGCGGCTCCCTACCCCCGATCCCTTCGACAGCGAAGTCGAAGACAAGGACGGACCAGAGATTTCGAGCGCGGGCAAAAGCCTCACATCTGCAACTGGGACGTGCGTGCCTTACCCTGGGGGCACCTTAGAGTATCCTTCCCGCCAAACGAAGGCAGGCCGACCTTTTTGCAAAGTCGTTTGAAATGCTCCAATAAAAGCCAATCCCTACCACCTTGGGTGCAAAGGGGGGGCATGAGCATTAAAAGCCTAGTCTTAGACGGCCGGTGTACGTACGCCAACCAATGCGCTGCCGCATTTTCCACCAAGTGCACAGTCCAATCCTTCTCACGAAAAGGCAGCTCAAGGAAAAACAATCCTCATAGAAATTTTTGAATGTGACCTCACTTTCAAAAGAGGAGCATCAAACAAGGGGCAAGCACCGAAAGACGCATTTGGCTCGAACTACCAACCCCCCGCCCCCCCATAAGAAACTACGCGGTTAGTCTCCTCTGAGTTACTTTCACTGAGATCTGAGGATTTCCATTAAAGGGAAAAGTGAACAAGTGGCAGGATTTTTGCAAATTCGAGCCCCCAGCTTCCGCGGCTGCACGCTCATCTGTCCCTCCCGCTCGCGCGCTCCCGCGCGCACCCTCGCGCACCCTCGCGCACCCTCGCGCACCCTCGCGCACCCTCGCGCACCCTCGCCAACCCCACGTTACTTTGATTGACAGCCCGGCCCCGCCGCTCTCCTTCCCACCGACCTTCCCATCCACAGTGCCAATCTCCGCGTCTCCCTTCTTCCTATTGGCTGGTTTCGGCGTCCCGCGGCTCCTCCAGGAACAGTTCTTCACCGAGCCCGGGAGGACGCGGCTGGCGGAGGAGGGGTGGGGGTGGTGGGAGGGAAGACCGGGGAGACGGCGGAGATGGAAGCGAGCGGGGTGGGAGAGGAGGGGGAGGACGGCCAGTCCAGTGTTGCGCTGCCATTGGCTTCGGGGAGGCGTTGCGTCAGCACCCCACGTTGGGCATGGCGCACGCGATTGGCTGGCGCACGCTTCCCCTCTTCCCCCCAGCTACCGCCCGGACCCACGTCCCCCGCCGGCTCTGCGCTCCCGCCCCCCGCCCGCGCCGGGCTGGGCGGGGCCGGCGCTGGTTAGCTCCGGAGTGTGAAACCGCGTGTTAATGTAACCGGCGCGAGAGGCGCGGGCGGCGGCGGCGGGAGCGGCGGCTGCAGGAGCAGCGGCGAGTACCCTGTGCCCCGCGTCCCCGAAGCAGCCGACTGCGCCACCCCCACCCTCTCACGGCCGGGCGGGACCCGTGCCGCCAGCCCGGACCTCCGCCGGCCCGCAGCGACCTAAACACCGCCGCGACTACTCCGGACCGGTCTGCGGAGTTTGCCCGCCGGGTAGGGAGGCCGAGCGGCGGAGCGCACTCCTGCTTTTTTTCCCCCCACCATCTCGTGGATGTCGCCCCCCGGGTCGTGAGAGAACTTTGCAGCGGGCTGGAGCGCCCTTTGCAGAGAGGCAGACGAAGGGAAGGAAAGAAAGAGGGCCCAGGAAGGGGCTTGGAAGAAGAGTCCAGAGCGGCCGTGCGGGCCGTGAGGGGCGAGTGCGCGCGGGGCGCGGCGCCCGGATGCACCCCGGGATCGAGGAGCAGCAGGCGGCTGCGGGACTGCTCCCCGCGGTGTAGCCCCGCCGGGCCAGGAGGGTTTGTGCAACCGCGGAGAACACCGAGTGTCGGTCGCACGGGGCGTGCCGAGCCGCCTCCCGGCGCGCCCTCCGCACTTTCCCCGCCTCGTCGTCATCCCGCGCTCCTCCGCCCGGGCTGAGGCAGCGGAGCGCCAGGCGCGGAACCTCCGCGGCCCGGACCTCGCTCCTCACCGACTCCCGGGAACCCACGAGCGCCCGGCTGAAGGCGCTGCCCTGACCCGCAACGGTCGGTCCCGAACGTCGCCAGGTTTGTTTGTGTGGGGTTAGCCGGGGGCGCCGGGCCACCTGCACCTCGCCCGCGGCCGGTGCCGCGGGGAAAACCCGGAGAGGAGGCGGACCGGGAGAAGAACGAAGGAAAGCAGCCCGCCTGGATTTGTTTGCTCGGGACGGGTGCCGCATACGGGGATCGCCGAGGGGAGCGCGGCCGGAGTCACCGCGCCCCCACCTCTCCGCCTGGGCAGCGGAGGCCCGCGGTTTGGATCACAGCCCCCGCGCGCTCTTCTTGGGCGCCGGCGTCACCGCGCAGGTTCTTGGTGCAGCCGGGCCCCGGGTGCCCCGCGATGTGGCCCTGAGCGAGGGAACCCGCACCGGCGGGAGCAGGAGCAGCCGAGTGGCCGGTGCGCCCCGCCGAGCGCGCCTGCGTGCGTGGCCAGCGCGCTCCCCGCGCTCCCGGTTTCTGCCTGCTTTCTCGGCTTAATTTTCCTCGGCGGGATTAAAGTTGGAAATTGAGCGGAGAATCGAGTTGCCCGGAAACAGAGCTACGGCCGCCGCCAGAGCGATGTTCCCGCAGAGCCGACACCCGGTGAGGCGCGGCAGGGTGCTGGGTGGAGGGGCCGAGCAGTGGGTTGGGGGTGGGGTGGGGATAGGCGCTCTTCCGGTGCTGTAGGGAGACGGGTGTCTGCTACATTCTGGAGGACTCCCCCAGCCTCTAGGGGTGCAAGGCTGGGGAGGTCCCGGACCGTCCCCTCCTGTGCTGGGGAGTGAGCTGAAACTCTCAATTTTTCCTCTTTACTCTGGGCCCCCTCCGAGTTGACGTCTAGACAGGGCGGGCGGGGGCGCCCGGAGAGGCTGAGGTTTCTTTCCCGTAGCGACAGCTACCCCCCAATCACCCCCCCGCCGAGACGGGTAGGGCGCCCCCCCTTTGTTTCTTGTCTCGCCTATTTACATGTCAATGCGGCCCCCGTTCCGGCGCGCCTGGAGGTGGCCCCGGCGACTCTGGGAACGGAGAATGTTAGGGAGTTGTTTTTCTCCTCTGATTCCTGGGGTCATTATCGCCCCCGTGGGGAGGGGGTGGTGGCTACGACGACAATTTGGCATGGTCTTTCCCGGCTGCCGGGGAGCCCCTGTCCCTCCAGCCGGTGACCCGGGCGCACGTACTGCGACCCGCCCTGGAGCACGGAAGAGGCTCGGAATCTTTGGAGGCTCCGGATCCCGCGAGGGTCCGCTTTCTCCCCCGCATAAAGTGCAGCGCAAACTCGAGTTTAGGGTTCCGTTTTCCGCCACTTCTAACTTAATTTTTGCTTACGTCCCACCCACTTCTCCGTTCTCTGACTTAACTGTTTTGTCTGTCTACCCGCATCCCTGTCCCTCGGTTCCCCTCGCCGGTCGCCCCCAGACGCCGCACCAGGCTGCAGGCCAGCCCTTCAAGTTCACTATCCCGGAGTCCCTGGACCGGATTAAAGAGGAATTCCAGTTCCTGCAGGCCCAGTATCACAGGTGCGTGTCCGGCCGCGCAGGGCGAGTGGTAGCCCAGGGGCAGCCCCGGCCCCTCCTCGCGCAGCCTGGGGACTGTGGCGGCTGTACTTAGTACTTGCGTCCAGGCGGTGGCGTGTGGAGTCGCAGTTAAGACCTGTCATTCATGTTACCCCCTTTCCAGGTTCTTCCCGGGCCGCCTCTTCTCTAGTCTCCTCCTCCTACCATTGTTTCCCTTTTGCCCGTTTGCTGCGGTTCCAGGGAGCCTTTTTTTTTTTTTTTAAGTATTTAGAAGTTGCATGAGAACCGTCAATATTTGCACTTCGTTTATTTATTTTGCAACAGGCTGAGCTGAAACCTTGGTTCAATCGATGCCCCAGCCCTGGAGTGCAGGTTTAGGGAGGCAGAGCCGGTGTTGAAATCGCTCTTTGCCATACTAGAGGATTGTGTTGTCTGAGGCAAAGTCCATTATGGAAGGCTGTAGATGCTGTTAGCTGTGCCCATCATTGGTGGTGAAGAGGGAGGTGGATAGGTGTAGGGAAGGCTCCCCTGCTTTGGCGTCACTCTGGGTTGGTTTGGGCAGGACAGGGGACTGGAGTCTCAATTATATATATCCCAGCTTAGTTTCTTCATCTGATGAGAGCTACTTCAGAAGGTTTGTAAATGATAAGTGATTGTACATTTTCCAGAAATATTAGTTTCTTCCCTTGTTCCTATGAAGTCTTCGCTGATGAGAGCTAAGAAATAACTGTAATGACAGTTTTTATTTTTGTCAGGCTTGAGAACAAGCACACAGATGCTTGGGTGTGAATTTTCTTATTTTGTCAGAGGTTTTTCTGATTATTGACCTTTTGTCTGCTTGAAGATAGTCATCTCTGGAACTTGAGGCATACCTGCCCACACTGTTTACCAAGTAGGGAGGACTTCAACCCACTTCATTGCAGTAGCTACTTCACATATTTTGGCAGGGATTTAAAAACCGAAGATTTTAAAAGGGACCAACAATTGTAGAAGTAACTTTACAAGTACAGTTTTCAAACCTAGAGACTGTTTGAGTTGGCAGAGATGGGACAAGACTATGTCTGATGCTGAAAATTGTGCAAAAGCCAGATTTCAGTGGAGTCCAAAGGAGCAAACTGGTGCGGGGAAGTAGGAGTGAACAAATGAGCAGGAGGAGAAATCAGTCTTCTGGGTAGATCAGAGGTTTTGACAGATTTTTCATTCTTGGCATCTGACCAGGTATGCACCAAGAATAAAAAGAATAGTAGCTGAATGGAGACCCTGTCCTGTTCACCTGACCCCTTTTCCCTATAAAATGCAAGGACAAAGCTTTTGCATGTTTACCTAGATAGTTTATGGCTTTTCCAAATTGGTCTGTGTTTTTACTTGAAGTGCAAATATGTGAGGCAGATGTTAAAACAAGTGACATAATGTTTACATTAAGTTGCCTGTTTTGTTTTTGTAGCCTTAAATTGGAATGTGAGAAACTGGCAAGTGAAAAGACAGAAATGCAGAGGCACTATGTGATGGTAGGTATCAGAGATTAGACTTTTCTTCTTTTCACGTAAGGTTAGCAAATGTGTGTTCCTAGCATTGCAAAACATGAGTTAACAAAATGCTTGTTTTTTTTTTCTTTTTGCAGTATTATGAAATGTCATATGGATTAAACATAGAAATGCATAAACAGGTAAGCTTTAGTTAAATCTCTAGCTGAAATGAGAAATCAGTCATGATTCCATAAAGCTGGCTTTGTCCTCAGTGGTGGGGGGATTTGTGTGCTGTTTTCTTGCCTTGGTTTCCCTTCCTGTGAGTTGGTGGTAGTATTTTGCAGAAGGGTCGCTTCTTGACAGTTACAGAATCTTTAAATGACTAGGTGAGAGGTGCTTTGGAAATGTGAACCAACCTGTTTCTAGGCTGATAGAAATTGAGTCTCTTGAGTTGACTTTTCCACCTGGGTAGATTCTTCCTCCTCTTGAAAGACCTGGGTATCCCGTAGAGTTCTGAAATTCAAAATAGCTTGTTTTTTTGCTGTTTTGGGCAGCGGTGTGGTCTTATATTCAGGAGTTCCTTAAGCAGGTTAAACATCGTGTATGACTAACAGGTTTTCTTCATGCTTCAGGGATGCATAAAGTGACACTCAAGATTAGTGGCTTATTAGCAAACATCTTTTTGGAAAATTTCTCAATTGATGCAGATTTGGAGGTGAAAAGGCATTCTTTTATGGCCACAGCATATGTTGGGAGTCGCTTCAGTCCTAGTGGTTTTAAAAGCATGAAAAGATTAGTGACTGGAAAGCTCTAGCTATGACTATGAGTTTGCAAGTTCCCATAAAATTCACACTTATGGCTACTATAATGGTGTATAAAAAGAGTATTGAGCTGGAACAAGGCACTAAGGACCTCATAAGAGAAGAAAAGCTAAATGATTGCTCAGCCCAAAGGACCCTCGATTGAGTAGTCATTGTCTGCCAAAGAAAGCATTAATGGCAGGGTGTAAGTATTCTGGAGATATGCTGACATTCACTTTTTCATCAAGACGCTGGTACAATAAGTCTTTTAGAAATCGATTGCCTCTTAAAAAATTATCATCAGATGAAGTTGCACAGTTGGACACATTTCAAAGTGCAACAATACAATTCTTACTTGATGTATATGTGCTATTTCATCTCAAACCCTTGTTTCATTAAATTAAAGAGCATGGCTGACCGGCTGGGGCACAGTGGAGAAATTGATTAGTTCAGCCTTCAGATCTTCCTATATTCAAAGACTTTCATTAAGCAAGTGTGTTTCAGAGTTGAATTCTGCTTTTGTAACTCCACACTCTTTGATTTTTAATTCATCATAGATTTCATAATGTTAAGTCGTGTACACTAGATCTGTTCTCAGATATGTGTTTGGAAGGGGATAGTTAGGTTCAAGGCCTTTCATTAATAATATAATTGGGCCTTTAAAAATGCTGATTTTATCCTGATTTGCAAAATTGGTAGCCTAGATTACATTGGGCTTGTGCCTTTGTTTTTTGTGTGGTTCAATGGCTTGTGCCTGATTGAGGCAGTTGTAACTTGTTGATAGTAATTGGGCCAGAAGATCTGTGGTCATTTAAATGAATTATGCAAATAAACTGGGTAAAGGAGTTGTAACCTGCCACTTTGTTTCTTCTTTTAAGTTACCCCAAAGGCACATTTTTTTGCTAACAAAAATTCTAGAAGGGTAAGAGAAGAGTGAACTTTTTCTTAAACTCATAAACTCAAAGGATTTAATAACTTCACCAACTCTTTTACAAGGAAACACCGCCTCTGTGTGATGCTGTATGCTGGTATAGGATTTATTGGGGGGGGGTAAAGGAGGTGTGTAATTCTGTGTTCCTGTAGGTTACGTGGTTACATGACCTCTTCTTTATCAAGTAGGAAAAAGGAAGAAGGGGTGAGGAGGGTCAGGAGCCCCATGGTGTGAAAATAGGTTTCTAATGAGTTTTTATACACTATTGGGCATTTGTGGGTAATATTGTCCATCCATGAGCTCGTATGCATTAATAATATGCTGTGTATAATTGGCTCAGTAATTTGAAAAATGTGAAAAGCTGAGAGATGCCATGTTCTTCATAGTAGGGTATTAAGACCCCTGAAATTTAGTTTATATTGTAAATGCTGACAGACCCTTAACTAGAGTGGTGTGCAAAGCAGTGCTGTAATTCAGCTTAAAGTGGCCTTACATTTGAAAAACATCCTTCTGAATGTCACACATTAATAATAAGTTCTGAGGAGGCATTTGGTGCAGCTAGTAATCATAATTCTTATTAAAACTGGTGACGTCTGGCCCCCAGGGTGTAGCTAGGCTCAAATTGATGCTTTTTGCCGCCTGATCACCAGCATGGCCTAAGTGCTCATTATATTGTAGAGAGGGCCTTTGGAGCTCTCATTAGATTTGACAGGAATTCTCTCTGGGGGGAAACTGGGCATTAGCGAGACTCCTGACAGGCTGAAATTAGTCCTGCTTTATGGCTTATAACCAAATGCTAGCAAGGCATCATCAGGGGACACAAAAAATTGTCATTTCTGACAACATCTTTGTTACTGAAAAAAAAAAACGCAGCACTGGGGAAACTTTCCACGGAGAGAGCTTTAATGTTAAGATTTGTCTGCAGTGTGACTGCTCCCTCTCCCCACCTTTCAGCGGGTTTGTCGAAGGAGTGAGTTTTAGAGATTTCAGTGTCAAATCTCACCACCGACTTTTCCGTCTGGAAGTTTTAAAGTGGAAGCGCGTCCAAATAGAGAATGGTATAATTGTGGTTTCCTTACTTGGTTTGGTGCCCACGGTCCATGTTTATGTTGTGTCAACACTTCCTGATAAGCCTTCCCCTCACTTTCTCTGTTCCCATATGTGCTGGTTACTGAAAAGTCAGTGCACTAGGGATGGTAATGGGTACTTAATTTTTTTTACTGTAACATTAAGACACGTTTTTTGGGGGGGGGGGTTTTTTTTTTTTTTTTGAGGGGCGCCTGGGTGGCTCAGGGTTAAGCGCCTGACTTGATTTTGGCTCATGCCATGGTATCAGAATCTTGGGATTGGGCTCCTTGCTCAGTGGGGAGTCTATCTGAGATTCTCTCTCCCTCTCCCTCTGCCCCTCCCCCGCACACTCATACTCTCTCTCTCAAAATAAATAAACAAAATCTTAAAATAAGACAGTTCTTTTTTGTTTGTGTTTTTGTTTGAGTCTTTTGTAGATCTCTGCCTGTCCATCTCTCTCCAGGTAGATTGTAAATTCTAGGTATATCTACCCGGGAGAGGTAGAGACATCTCATGACACGTCATGATGCCACCAGAGGGTTAGGGTGCGTAACAAAACAGCAAATGAACGTGAGTCTGGTCGTTTGGAGGGCTATGCCTGGTGTGTTTGGCAGTGTGATCTTTCAAGTTTTGTTTTCTGTCATGTGGTGTGGTATGACCTCATTTGATATTTTTGGAACAAGATGCACTGTAAATACATATATAAGCCTTATTTATTCCACTTGTGTATCTCTTCAGGATGCTGATGAAGCCATGCCATAAGTTGTCTTTAGTGGCGTGAATTTGTACAGCACTTAACAGTTTTCAGAAGTGATTCGCCTCATCCTGTGAGGTAGATTGGGTAGGTGTTTTGCTCTGCCTGCGGCTATGGGCATGTGTTCAGAGTCCAGATTTGTCAAGCCAAGTTTCTGCTGAAGCTGGAGTTTGGGTCACCTGGTCCCTAGAATTCAGTGCTGCTTTACTTTACCCAGCCCCCTGCCATTGGAGGATGAGGCCAGTGGTGGAATCACCTGTTGGCCTGGCTGCAGGTCTCTCCTCTCTCTCTTTGTGCTGACAACTTCATGATACACAATCACGTCAGGGCTAGATGCATGTTCTAAGAATTCATGAAAATCAGCAGTACTGACTGGCCTGTGGAGGTCACAGCCATGGGTAGGTAGAAAGTCATAGCCAACTGAGCACTGCTATTGCAGGTTAAAATATGTCTAAGAACAAAAGAAATTGGAAACTGTTGTCAGGACTCCTGGTTGAGGCCCAGGGCACAGTGAGTGTGATCAGTCACTTTGTGTCTCTGTGCCTCTATTCTTCTGAAGAGCAGGCAGAGTGAGTACTCAGTGCTCTCCAGGGCGGCCAAGAATTTAAAAATAAATGAAAGGACTAGCTCTGGAAGGAAAGACATACTCTGCAGTGCTGTGTGGGGTGGGGAAGGAGACGAGAAAGAGAAACAGAGGAGAGCTTAACATAACCAAGCGCCATGTGATGTTTCAGCCAGCACCCTGTCTCAGACCACGTAAATTTCGGACTGAAGCCGCTTTCACAGTTTTGATGTGTGCTTTAAAGTTTCCCTTAAAAAATAAATTGTCCTCTGGTAGTGTTTTTAAAGTGCTTAGGTGGAACTGTTAGGGGTTCACCTGCAGGTTAATCCCTTAGATGTGCCTCTTACTATTTGTCTGCAAGTCTTACCTTTCTTCCTGCTTTTTTAACCACGTGTGTTTTCCATCTGCAGTTTCTCACTTTTTTTTTTTCCCCCCCAAGTCCAAGTCTCAGAATGGGAAAAGACTATAGTGGAGTACTTGCACTTAAGAGTTAAGCTCCACCAGGTGTTAATTACCTTGTAATACAAAGGGACTAGCTGTCATCAAGATTGGAGTGGTCCCCAACTTCACTTCATTAGCCAGGCCTGCCCTTCACAAGCTTCAGTGAAAAGAGATAAAGCTCCCTGTGTATTAAGAACCCAGATTTTGAGGCACGAGATTAGCCTTTGTTTTTTTTTTTTATCAGCAAGCAGGGCAATTCCTCCCTACTTTCTCTCACCCTACCCGACCCCTTCAACAGTTGGCTAGTTCACGGTTACTATCCATAGAGCTGAGACTCGGGTGAGGTGAGGGTTGCATTGCCTCGGGCACAGAATTTAAGGCAGGGGTCAAAAAACATAGTCCTTTAGATAAAAAATATTTTTAAAATTCAAAATTAATGCCAAAAAACTCTAGGAGGCACAAAATATGGGATCTTTAGGATGGGCGTTGGTGTAAAATACAGTTCATTGAGGTCCCTTATTTAGGGGACTTTGATTAGTGACTGGGTAAGTCATTGACTAGTTAGTTGCCTGGGCGTCAGTTTCCCTCGTAAAATGAAGGGTTAGACTAGGCAGGTTCTCAGTATGGCTCCTCTTAGGAGAGGA